GATGATGATGATGATGATTTTTTGAAGCGGAAAAAAATTGTAGGAGAAAGAGTGAGTGAAACGATAGACTTGAGGACAAGGAGTTCAAAGGATCTAAGACCGGTTGTTAGGTTGGGTTGGGTTAGTTGGTCGGTTGGTTTGATGCTTCGGGTTAGTTAGTTTCTTAGTTATCTAGTTTGTTGTAAGGATCTTTGTCAGTTAGTGCTAAGGTTATGTTGCTGTTCCAGACAACTAAGGGGAAGTGATATTTAAAATGATAACTACTTTAAACTGCAAGGTTAGTATAATTGTTGAAGGTTAGCATAAGCGATGTCAGTTACTAGTGGGAGATTTTTTTTCCTACGTAACATTGAAATAACCGACAGGCGAATTTCCCATTTCGTTACTTTTTTTTTTTGTTAATTTTAATTATTTTTCTTGTAGCGTATTATATTTGTAGACCGTTTGAACACTACTTTTTCTATATTTATTCGGCTTTTCAATTTTTAAGGAAGAAAATTTATATGCGTGATTCTATAAAAAGGCTTTTGAATGAAAAGTTCATGTAAATATGCGTATATTTATGTGTAATGTTTGATCTGTTCCCTTTTTTCGTATCAGTTGAAATAGCTTTTTTTGGTTGATCATTTTAAGTGCTTTCTTTTAATTGTTGTTCACCAATTTTGAGATCAACTGTTCACGGTCAAAATATGATTGTTTGGTTTGTTTATTTAGTAGTAATTGTTCCGGTAAAAATGCCACTGGTTGAACGTATTGAACATATATCAAGCTATCAAGTCTCAAAACTGATGAATTTTATTTTTGATTTTACAGATACTAAAGCAATAACAATGATTATGGCAAATGATGAGGAGAAAGGTAGAGTCCCGTCGGCGGAAATGGCTCAACTTCAGTCTAACGTTAAGACTGCTACAGCCATACCTGAAAAGGAGAAATTATTACAGTCGGATCAGTCGCCATCTAAGAAACCATATACAGAATTATCAAAGGTTTGTTTTTTATTTTCTAAAGTTGGCATCGGTATACAGTAAAAAATGTACAGTTAAACCTTCGTTTAATTCATTTTATTTTTCTTTTTTTTTAGAAGACATTTCTTACATGTTTTTTCTTTTGCATCTACTTGAAAAATTTGGACCTTTCACTCATCTTTTTTTTTTTCGTTTTTACACAACATTGATGTGTCGTTGATGGATGGAAATAATGTTCTTTTTTTGGCAGTGGGTGGATGGGCAGTAAATTAGTAGAACATAAAACAAGAATCTAATTCGTAGATTGCGATCTTTGCAATAGTGCCTTTTCCGAGGGATGTCTTTGGTGTAAAATAGTCTTTGCTATAAACTTTTTAACCTGAGACACTAACGGTCATTGATTATTCAGCAGATTGAAGTAGTAATGTCGTCTTATTCGATGGAGGTTTGTATTATTGTTTTTTTTTTTCTTAAGAATAAAGATTGTCTTTTAACAGTGTAAAGATTTTTTAGAGTAAAATACAAAATTTTGTATAAAATGATCTCACTGCAAGACGTACGTTTTAAAGTTGTTGGTGAAGTACTTTTTTTGTGGCCTATTTTCTGAATGGCTTATCACTCCGGTACTGTAGGGGTGAAAATTAGCGTTTTAGGTATCTGTTATTTATATAGATAGTTAATAGCTGTATTCTATAGTGATGTTGTAATAAATGGAAGAAATAATGGGACCAGATGTGGAGGAAAAAAAAAAGGAGAAAGTTTTAAGAAATTAAGGTATTATAGCAAGTTTATTAAGATATTACAAGTAGTTTTCTGTACGTAATAACGTGTTTTTTAATCAGATTATGAGGTGCCCTTTATAATAGACTTTATTTTTTTCTATTTTTCAGAATTGTTATCAACCGTTTAGCTTTAAAAAAAAAACATAGGTTTTGGGAACAGGTTTATACCGTAATTGCACATCCAAAATATTTATGAATTTATTGTTTTGACTAAAATCAGCTTATGTATCACTTGTTGATGTTTTTGATTTTACTGAACATTGTACTGATGACAGAATATTTTGCCTTGTTTTGCTAGACTACACGTAACTGGCTAGAAATTAGGTTCCACGAATGAAGACCTGAAAACGAAGAACAGTTTAATTGTACAACAATTTTTGTTTTTTCTTTGTAAACTAATTTAATTACTAAGTTTAATTGAATTAATAATTCTGTTGAATACTTTAAGATGAAATTTCAAGAAATTTCTAATTTCTTTTTTGATTTTATTATATTTTCTTTTGCCATTCTATCTTTCTCGTTTTGCAAGTATTTGCCAGAGAAGTATCAGACAAAATTAAAAAACTTTGTTAAATGGTACAGAAGAAACCAAAAAAAAAAAAAAAAATCTGTTTATGGAAAAATGAACATTTTATCAACTGAAACATTTTATGAAGCTTTTAGGTTTAAACTGGTTACATACATTAAAATTTTTGTGCTTGGTTGGTTGATTCAGTGATGGGTTAATTAGTTAGCAGGTTATCGGAATAGTTTTTGGTTTAGGTTCTTTGGTTAGAACTGTAATTGATCATTCGGCGCTTCAAAGGTTCATCTACAAAAAAAAAAAAAAAAAAAAA